AGCCACATTTGCTGTCCCATGGGAGCTCATCATAATGGTAACTCAACTGAAAACATGTAAGGCGACCACTTAAAAATGTTCCAAACTAACTGTAATAAACAAGTAATAACACTAATGTTTTACTGACAGGATGTATTCAATCCTTTTTTTTTTCCCCTGAGAGTTAATAAATTACAGAGTTCTGCAATACTAAGGATATTCCAGCTAACATTCAGCCAAATAATACTATATCAGTAAAAAATATATGGGTGAAATTCCATCTCCATTTAAACAATCTGGAACTTCACCACAGAACTCAGTGGGGCCAAGGGAAGTCCATGGTCACAGAAGCGGTTAAATAGCTTCAGTGAGCTTTGAATTTTAACCAGTGAACTAATTTGAGGTAATTCCAACAATCAAACAAACGGTTAAAAGTGTATTTTTGGCAAAATTAATGGCACAATAACTAATATTATTGGTTTTAATGGGATAAATTAAGGACCATTCTTATAGTAATAGCAAATTTTTGTCTCATAAAACAGCTCTTATGGACCTCTTCTGGGCTGAACAAAAATTGATAGGAAAAAAGAGAGTTCAACTGAGAACATGATTCATACAAGCACTGGTTGAATTAACTTATTTTCATAATTTTACCACATCTTTAATAGTTATGAACAAGGTTTTTTATGTCTGCATTTCTTATCGAGTCCCACACTGCTAAATCCCTCTTGCTTTTGTGTATTTGAAATGCATTTATGCCTTCATGCATTATCAACAAACACGTTTCTTTTTCTTACAGTATTTATACACTGAACAACTCTTGTTATTTCTGGCACTGCTACTGCATATGTTACTTTTATGGGTAGAACATATGTTCTGCCCATAGCATGCATTACTCTTACACTCTTACATTATTAATATCTTATAACGGTGTCTTAGCATAACCTTGAATCATGTGCCTTAACATAACTGGGGTTTGGAAAAAAACACTGAAGCTGTTACAATTCTGTTTATGTGCATTGGCATTCTTAACCAATCTACATTTCAGGTACATTTTCAGTAGACTGATACACTGCACTAAGAAATTTTGCTGATCTAATAAAGAGATCCTTATTAGGATCTAATTATTATTATTATTATTATTATTCTAATAAGGAACACCCTTTGAAGTCAGTGATCCATGAAGTCTCCATACCAGTTTTCACATATGAGTGAGATGACAATATACTAAGCCAACCCTCCTATTGGAGAAGTCATAAAAGACAGCACACACAGAGACACACTGTCTGTTCAATACAGCTTTGTTATTCTGCATTTCATAGATTTGTACGTACTGTGCCAATTCAAAGACCATCCATGACACTGGAAAAGGAATGAGGATTATTTTGCTGGGGCACATCCTCCTGTGCTACATGAGCCTGCATAACAAAGGCATGTGGCTTTCATTCTACACAGGAACAATTCCTACTCTGATATAGAACTATGCTTATTTTATGCTACCCCAATATCTGTGTTGGAAATAAATTTTATCTCCAATGAAGTTATCATTCTGGGCCAAATCAGAATTCCTTTAATCAGTACAGGGAATTGGAATTCTGCTAAGAAGAAACAAAGTGAAACCTTTAGGATTTGCCTGCACAAAGATCTCCAAATAAATGAGTTTGGTGTGCTTCAAGCAAACACCCCCTGCCCCAACAGCAATGCATTGGAATTCACTGAAATTTTACTACAAATTCAGAATTCAGTGACAATCTCACTGAACTTAATTTGACTTGGACTGTTTATCTGAGTGAGTGAAAATGAGCCTTGTATTCATCTTTCTCTCACTCTGCACTGAATGGTGTCACCTAGATTGCCATAGAACTTTACCATGGGTAAGCTGCAAAATGTACTGCAACTGTTTAATAATAATTCCTATGTCTAAAGATAGCTTGGTCTTTCCAGCAGTTGCTCAAAAAGGCATCAACAGAAAAGGCCACCATAGTAATGGATTCGGCCTTATTGGCACAAAATATTTTCATATTTGCAAAACTGGTAAAAAAAAAGAGACTTGCAGAGTTTTTATCATGAACATACTGTTGCTTTTCTACAGCTTTTAGAGTACTACAGTCATTCACAGTTGTCAGAAAAGTGGTAGACAAAGAAAGACCTATTCAAGCCTAAGTAGTAAGGAGGTCAGAGAGCATCCTATTTTTAATTCTGAAGCTTTTATAGCTTGAAAACCTATTTTAAAACTCAAAATATAACGTGAGCTTCAAAAAAAGAGAGAGAGAAAAAAAAAAAAAGAACCATAGAATGATCCTTTTCTAAGAATACATAATAGTTCCACTTTTAGATTATATCCTGTCCAGGTTGGAATACCTACTATTATTTGCTTGCACAAGAACAAAGATATTTCTGATTGTTTTCACTAGTTTTCTTACTATTATGAAAAAATACCCCTCTCCCAACAATACTGATTGCTATAGTGAACAATACAAAGGTTCAATGCCAGGTAAGTCTCCATTTGGCCTCCTTCTCTATTTACCTGGATGTTTCTGACTCTCTTTGGAATTCAGTAGAAGGTAAATTGACTGAATCAGTTGTTCTAGTCAAGAAGTGGTGAAAACCAAGACATGCACACAGAACCTGTATTTTATCTCAACTAAATGAGAAATCCCTTCTTTAAAAAAAATTTCTGGTAGAGACAAACTGGTACATAAGTGGTACATAGAGACAAACACACATAAGTGGTTGTGTTTAGACACTCAGCTTCGACTGAACTCAGCTAAACTATAGAAACTTAACCAACTAATGATTCTTTTCAAGGGAAAAAAAAATAATAACGAAATCTGCAAACCAATCTATTAACATTAAGAATCATTAAAAAAAAGGCTGATTTTTTTCAAAGGCCTGATAACCAGTGTAGATGAGAGAAAACTCATCTCCCAGAGCATTCGTAAGTTGCTTGATCTATGGGAAGATTCAAAAATCATCTTCTCTTGGGGGGGGAATTGAAAATTGGTGTAGTTGTCACCTGTAAACTTAATCACTGCAGACTTAATGTGATGAGGAAAACTTGTGATGGGATGATCAGCAAAATCCTTCCCTGAGGAAGGTATTACAGTCATGAGGAATTAACCAGGCAATGGGGGCTGTAACTTGGAAGGTCATGTCCAAAAGTTTTTGTATGGGAAGACGAGAAACAGCGTCTCTAAACAAAATAAATTTTCTAATGTGTTACCTATTATTTGCCACAATACATAGACAGATAATATATTATCTCTTGTTTGTCAGAATGCACATCTGGTGTTTGGCATATGTGCAAATCAAAGACAGGATTTATGCAGAAATCGGTCTTTTGAGTTAATTTTGTTTTGCTTTTAGTTTCTGATTTCTTTGCTTCAGTGAACTTGTCATCTGTGATCAGCGAATGATGTGATAGACATTGCATAGTCACAACTTTGGACCTCCCCTCAGCTAGGTCCTCAGCTGGGTTAAGGAGTTATGCAGACTTCCCAGCCAATATTTCACCTTGCTGTCCACTCAGCTCTGGTGGCTGGTATTAAAAGACACCTCTCAGTATCCCTCGAGGGACAGAAGAGCACTATGAATTAATTTAACCTAGCAGCTCGATCTCTACAACCTTGCTACAAACTAATACATGGTCAAGCAATGACAGACTTGTGCTACACTTAAGCTCCTTTAAGGTTAGTTTCAAACACCTAAGGTAATGAAAAGATACTTCAAGAAAGGCTTGTTATTTAATGAATCTCTGATAAAGGTAAAATTGTGGTATTGTACTTGTATCAATATTTAGGTAACTTCTACTGTTAGGTGTCAGACAGTAGGGAAAAAAGTAAAAAAGCAAAAGGTCATATATTTTCCTTTATTTGACCTTCTTTAATGGAAATCTTTGTTACAAGTTCTGTATTGATATAACTCGTAATGAAAATTTATTTCCTTTCCAATGGGAACTGCATGCTGATTAGGTGAGAAAGGATTACCTTCTTTCCTGCTATTTGTAACACAGCTAATGATTTTCTTTGGGGTGAATAGCCTCTTATTTATCTTCAGATGCTTTCCTTGACAGGACAAAGTCAGAATAAAAAGGTCTTCATTGCTTCTTTCGCTAGAAGGTAAAAATATGGGGCTGCTTCCTGTAAATGGTTCTACTCACCCAGGTATTCTCATATGTATGGGTCATGCTTTTCATATAAAGGGGGTTCCCTATCATTTTGAAGTTTACAGTAAAAAGACCCATCCTAGTTAACTTAAATACTACTGTATTTCTAAGAAGCATCTGGTTTAAAATAGTATAGCACTATTCTGGTTTTATTAAACTGCCCTGCTATGTAACTGCCCTTCCATGTGCAGTAGTTTCACTTCCAGGATAGCTGTGGTTTGGAAAAGGCTTAAAATCAGATGAATCATCCATTCTCCTGGGAAGCACTGTTCTGCAATAAGCTGCTGGCTCTTTGCCCCCTATACAGACATTTTCTAATACAGTCATTAGGACATTTTCTATCCCTCTGTCATATTAAAAAATTAATGAGTTCTTTTCTGTGACTTTACAAAGCCCATAAGACATGACATAGCAAATCCTTCCTGTTTTACTTAAACAGTGAGGTTCCAACCTCTGCTATAGACTGGTGTTTGCAGGATCACACACGCAAAGGAAAAGTGTCAGCCTTACAACTGATTTCTGTTGTAGAGTTTGTTTGTCCTATGTTAGAAAAGCAACTGTTTGCTGAAAATCTGTGGAAATCTCAAGCATTTGGCAAAAAGAACTATTGTTTATTTCCTGGAAGTGTAATGTATTATCCTGCTTCTCTTAACCAGTGTAACAAACTACAATGAACCCATCTGCATTTAGCTTTTACATATGAAAATATTTTCATATTTGCCATATGGTTCTTCAAAAAATTCTGATAACAGTAGCAGTGACACATTTGTAATGGGATGTCCAAGTGCAACTCCATCATAATTGAAAAAAGCATAATGGAAACATGAGACAGATTTAGCACTAAAAGTGTATTTACCTTCATATGTTCCACTTTCTAAGAGAGCACCACTTTTCTCCAATTCCATAAAATCTTCAACCGTGATGAAAATATAGTCCACACCAGGGACTTCCCCCTCCTTATGTGGCCTTGTGGTGCCTATTAATAAGACAAAAGACACACTGTCAGGCACATGACCTAAATGTAGAACAGTGTTTTCGAAAGTTTTGCAAAGTAAACCATTTATAAAACACATTATATATAGCACATTGTCCTTGTGAGGATGTCTTTCAAAACCATACAGCTACTTTTGTTGAACCTGACAGAGGTATATAAGATGCATGTTTAAGATCATTCCAGATGTTTTTTTGGATCCATATTATTTATTCTCATTAATGAAAGGGTACAATACTGCTATTCTTTTTATGTTACTAGAAAGACCCTCAGCAACACCAGGCATTCAGAGGCAACACAAATCTTTGATGTGTATTTTTCACGGCCTCAAACAAATCTTGCCCACAATTAATCTGCTCCATGATCTTTTAAACATTTATTTAGTACACAAAATAATAAATCTGTAAGTAAACCTATAACAGTTGTATTCACATTGATCGTTTCAGTGCCATAAGTGGACTTGATAAATGGTGAGGCTTAAGGGACTGAGCAATTCAAATCACCTGCTTACCACACTGTCAAACTGCAAAAGTGCTTCTATTTAGTTACTGCCTCTATTGTCATCTCTGGATGACAAACTCCATAAATGCCAATAGACAATATTTCATACATGCTGAGAAGTGACGTGGCTTAGCTAGCAAAAGTTGAGCTGTTGCAGGAAAGCACCTGAATTTGACCTAATTTCTTAATGGTCCAGTTTATTGTGGTGAGGCTATCCCTACTTTGACTGGAACCACTAAATAAGTCTCAAAACTCCATTTGGAAATGGAAGACTTTTATGTCCTGCTTGGTCTCATGAATGTTTGAAAATATGAATAAATCAATTCTTTAACAATATTGTAGTGACCTCATCACACTTGCAGGGTTTGTTTTCAAGACTGTTGACACTGGGAAGTAGTTAGAAACAAGATCTTCCCCTTCCAGGACAAAAGTTTAGCATTATTATATTGTGCAAAAGATGCTGTCTCTTGCTCTGTTATTAATCCACCACCTTAAACACTGTATTGTGACTCTCATATTATGTAGTAGTGATTCAGACATCTCTTCAGGTCAGCTGACATAAAATTCATTTCATCTACTTTTTGACATCTATTTTTCAGGCATGTGCATTTAAGCCTCTTGAATAATTCTGTGTACGACTTGTCGTGAGATTAAGGAGGTGAAGCATAATTGTCTACTTTTGTGCCATGTATCTACACTATTACAGTCAAGAGAGATCTCATCGATGGTGGAAGCAAGAGAGCTATTCAGCTGCCTGCTTGCTAAGAGCTCAGTTCAGGTGGCCATACATAGGTCTCCATGGGATGCCTCAAATATTCATGTGAAGCCAGTAGATGTGAAAGGACAAAATACTCCTCACATTTTCTCAAAAGCACAAAATTATACTTTGCATCGCCCAAAATGCAGTTGTCAGCCTCATACAGAATCCCACTCCATAGCTCCATCTAATAGTGACTTCTGTGAAACAAAAAGCGCATTAGAAGTGCAAGGTTCTCCCAGTGACAATGACAGGACTCTCATGCTCTCAGCGATTCCTACTGGCCAGTGCTCAGCTTTGCCAAAGCACTGGATGGCTTTCAGACTTGCCCAGATTCCTTGCTGTCAGTGGAAACATAAAGACATAATGGTGCCTTAGTTAGGCTTTCTGGACTGCTTGTTATAGACACCTTTCAGACTGAATGAACCTGAGAAGCTATTTCAGTCACTAACCACAGGAATATGTTCTGACAAATCTATAAGATGCTTTCTCTAATTTGCCTGATTCTAATTCCCTTTTCACATCAACATTTAAAACTAAAATTCATCCTATTTGTCAGTTTATTTCTGCGAATCTCATATTTGCAGGAACGTGTTTGTTAGGATTATTACTATTGTGTTTCAGGGATGGTATTGTTAAAGGACTCAGACACTCGGCTTGCTCATAAATAAGTTGAATTTACTCCCTGTGGAATATTTGACCCATGGGGATGCAGCAGCATCCTCAGAGATCTCCATCCCTTTGTGAGAACTGTGCAGAAGCACAGGGATTCTGGCAAGCCCTTGAGCTCCTGAGAGCTCTGCTAACAGCACATACATCAGATGTTTGATCCACATGCTCTCTCCTGAGGAATTTTTCACTCCAAAACTCATTGGCAGGAACTTCCTCAAAAACATTTTGGAAAATCAAAAGCTATGTTATTCCTAGACAAGGAACAGGGAAGAAGCTGATGTATTAGATGAGTACCTCTTTCTTAGTATTTCTTAAATATTTTTTTATGTAGTCAAACTAGATTCCCAGTTGTTTATCAATCAGAAAAAATACCCAACCAAAGAACAAAAAAAACCCCAAGTGATACAAAATGTGGAGGTAAGTCCTGTTTTGAGTGGAAAGTTGGACCAGATGACCTGCTGAGCTCCCTCTCAATCTGTATTTTCAATGATTAAGTCAGATTAAGTTTTAATGCACTGCAATTTGTTTTAAGCACACGGATATTCAGCAGTTGTATGCATCAGGGATGACTGCGAAGTCTCACAGGAAGTCCAACAACAGACTCAGTCATCCCTGTGTTTCTCTACTTCGGTCACAGTCTTCAGTCAACTTGCCTAGAAAAGTGTAATTGACTAAATTTCAGATTCTGAATCCATCTCTTAAATTGGAAGCTAAAGATCTGGTCTTTCTGCCCTTACGTGACTTAGCCAAGTTCTTTTGGATATGGTGCGTATATGATAATGCTTGCATATGCCCTGCACTATGAATTTAATATTCAGTCTAATCTGCTTCCTCCCATTTAAAATGAAATGCATTGTCCAATTATAGACTAATTCTGTATCCTTAATACACAGTTTAACTCTAGCCTGTCTCTTCTCCAGCTGAATTGCTCATCACCTATCCCCATGTGTACAGTAGCCATGAGATGCTCTGTATTTAAAGCTGCAGATGTAATCATTATCTTGTTCTATAACAATCCATGTTTTTAAATAGTTCCTATTTAGCTTCAAGATAAAACTAGTGGATTTTTGTGGCAAAGCCGAAAACACTCAGCACGCCACTGTAGAATCACCAGAGTGCTACTGTACACAGCAGCTTCTTAAGTCAGTCTCCCTGAATCTCTGTTTTCCTTAGGTTACTAAACAGCTACTGGTAATTCTACAGTATGCCTTCTTTTCTCCATTTCTCTTGCACCTATCTTTCACTAGGTATTCCAGCATGGAGATGAGAAATCCTTTCTCCTGAAAGCTGAATTAAAATGTATAAATTACACAAATTAATATTTTTAAGGAAAAGCAGATTTCCTAGAAAATTTCTTGTCAGTTCTACCTATACCTGCTATGTCTGTCTTACAATGCCAGGAGATACTACTATCACTCAGACAGTAAAATCAAAGATTCCACCCTCTTTTCTTATAATCCTTAGGGACTCTGCTCCAAGAGCTTGTATTATATACTGAGGGTTATACTCCTATAAGATGTTAACTACTTGCTTCCTTCAAAAAACAGAGAAAAGAGCAAACCATGATCACTAGTTGCATGTGTTCAGCGTGACTCTTACCCCAGGTATAGCAGTTTCCATCCCCACCAGAACTTTATTGCTCTTGATAAGATCTTACTGAGTCCCATTTCCCTCCTGCATCTGTTCTCATTTCCTCAGCCTGGAGGACCTGAGATCTTGCAAATAGTTAAAGCAATTCCCCAGCTAATGGAAAAATCAATAGTTATTGCCTCTTTTACTCCTTCACCCTGGAGGAACTGAGTTGCTGCTATTAATACTTCTGCTGTCCTTTATACCTTTCTGTAAGCACCATAGTGTTGTGCAGGCTTACAGACTTGAAGGCAGTTCCTGAAGCATCTTTAACACTCATCAAGGTCTGAACATTGAGGTCTATAGATATGAATCTTACAGACCATAGGCAATTTTTCTTTTTCCTTGCTTTTAAACAAATGTAAAATTACTGTTCTTAATAGATTTTGTCTTTAACTATATTCATATAGTACAGCTATGGTGATTCAAGACTTAAAACAAATGACAAATTCCAAGCCTCATATTTTTTCAGAAACACACCTCTTGTTACACAGCATCGAGGCTTAATAGGAGCACTTGCTACTGCTTATAATATTTAGCCTTTTGTTAATGTAAAGTGAAAATAGGAACCCAGTTATCATTTTGTTACCATGGTAACGTATGAAAAAATAATCTTTGAATCCCATAATGAAAGAACATGATACTTTTAGATCTTGCAGGATCAAAACCAGCAAGGGATATTTGCACTATAAATATTTATGACAAATGCAATCTATTGTTGCTGTTGAACAGAAGACACAAAAGGAGTAGCTTGCAAGTAACCATGGCCACTCCATACGAGCAAGTGCTGTCACACAATGTGTAGGTACCTTAGGAATTTCAGGAACTTGATCTACAAAATCTGGCCATATAGTGACCTTGGATTTCATGAGCACTGCTTGCATTGTACAGTTTAGAGATATTCAAGCTATGTGGCAGACCTTTTTTTAAATGATCTTCTGCCTTGCAGCTTGTTTCTTCTTTTGTTCTATAGGGGAAACATGGTGATTCACCATACTTCAAGCTTTCCATGATCACCGTTGTGTTACACGATGGTGCTATGGTTCTGGAGAGGAATTAGGACTGTTTACATAAACAGCCTTTGAAAGAGCATTTTTCTTTTAACTGAGTATAAGGCACCTGAGGGTATAAACAGATAGGAGAACAACTAGGAATTTAAAGACCCTTCTTTAATCTCAGCATCCAAGTACATAATTATAACATATTAGTGCTTATTTGGGAACAAGGTGTTCAGTTTGACTTTGAAAACGTTTCTACTTAGAACCATTGAATATTCACAGTCTCTGTCCAGCTCTGCTGCTTTCAAAAGCAGGAAAGGTGCTTTCTCAGTATTTCTTTTATTGAAATATTTCTTTACTGAAACTTTTTCCCTCTAGTTATGCACCTCTAGTTATGCATGATAGGAAAAGACGCAATTTATTTATGT